GACAGCACTCTCATTCATTAGGTTGCTCTCTCTCTCTCAAATAAGTTTATTAAAAACAAAACAAACAAACAAAAAAACCCCACAGGTTAGAAACATAAACTCTGGTATCAGACCAATTAGTTCCAATCCCAGTTTGCTACTTAGTAGCTCTGAAAGATATGAATTATTGTGTATAATCTAGGTAACCACCCTGAGATGCGTCTTGTATTGTCATACTCTCTTCATAGATGAGGAAACTGAATTGCTCAAGGTCTCACTGTTACTACAGAACAGGCACAAAATGTCATGCCTAGACAGTTTCAGAGCCTGTGCTCTTTCTGCTTCTGAGGGAGGGTACGCTGCTTCCAGCGTCTGACAGTGAGGGCTCTACAAATGCTAATTACCATTACTGCAATTAGTGAAAATTCTTTTCTGCTTTTAGCCACAAAGCCAGGCTTGTACAGATGCAAACAGTAGGGTGCTCATATGTATCCTCAATTTCCTCTCACGTTTACAAGTACCATAAACAGCAACATTAACACAGGAAAGTAACATTGTACGATATCATAAGCTACAGATCTTGTCCAAATTTAACCTCATGTATCCTACTGTCCTTTTTCAAAATCTAACATAAGACCCCTTACTGTATCTTGTTGTGATGTCACCTTAGTTGCCTCCAATATGTGACACTTCTTTTCTTTTTCAGATTTATTTATTTATACAGAGAGCAGGGGATACAGAAAGCTTTTCTGTCTGCTGGTTCACTTCCCAAGTGGCCACAACACCAGGGGATATAAAGTTAAGAGCATCTTGATGGGTCTCCCACGCGGGTGCAGGGTCCCAAGGCTTTGGGCTGTCCTCTACTGCTTTCCCAGGCCACAAACAGGGAGTTGGATGGGAAGTGGAGCAGCCAGGACATGAGGATCTGAAGCAAGGCGAGGATTTAGCCAATAAACCATTGCATCAGGCCCTCCCCTACACTCACTTATTTATTTTTTGTAAGGATTTTTTTTAATCAGAAGGAAGGAAGAAAAGAAGGAAGGTAGGAAGGAAAGAAAGAAGAAGAGAGAGAGAGAAAGAAAGGAAGGAAGGAAGGAAGGAAGGAAGGAAGGAAGGAAGGGAGGAAGGAAGGAAGGAAGGAAGGAAGGAAGGAAGGAAGAAAGAAAGAAAGAAAGAAAGAAAGAAAGAAAGAAAGAAAGAAAGAAAGAAAGAAAGAAAGAAAGAAAGAAAGAAAGAAAGAAAGAAAGAAAGAAAGAAAGAAAGGCAGGCAGGCAGAAAGAAAGAAAGGAAGGAAGGAAGGAAGGAAGGCAGAAAGAAAGAAAGGAAGGAAGGAAGGGAATGTTTAAGTCTTTTTAAAATGCCAATTTGGTAAATGAGAATTCTGATAAATTTATTTCAATCTAGCAAATATACTCATGTTCTCTTAAGTTACTTTCCATACTACAGAGGTTTTTACTTTTCCAACACTTATGCTTATTCTTGCATTCATTTGTTTGAAGGGCAGACCATTAGAGAAAGAGCTCTTCCATCTACTGGGTCATTCACCAAATGTCCCATCTACTGGGTCATTCACCAAATGTCCAAAACAGCCTAGGCTAGAGCAAGCTGCCCCCAGGAGCTCTATTATGGTCTCCAGAATTGGTGCTGAAGAAGGGAACGGGGATAGACAGATATGCACACAGTACATTTTGTGCTGTTTTCCTAGGAGCTGCCTTCCCAGGCTCTTAGCAGGAAGCTGTGTCAGAAGTGAAACACCCAAGATTCAAACTGGCATTGAACTGGATGTCAGCAAGATAAGCAGTGGTTCAACATATTGTGGTATGGTAACACCTGCCCCATCAGATTTTTCTTGAAAAAAAAAAAATATTTCAAAGACAGAGTGAAAGAGAGAGGAGGAGATGGAGAAGCATTCTATCCACTGGTTCACTCCCTAACAGGCACCAATGGCTGGCTGGCCTTGGCAAAAGCCAGAAATCTGGAACTCCATCTGGTCTCCCATTTAGGTTCAGAGGCCCCAAGATTTGAACTACCCTCTGCTGTTTCTCCATGTACACTGGCAGGGAGCTGGCCTGGAAGCACAGCAGCCAGGATCTGAAGCAGTGCTCCAGCATGGGATGTGCCAGTGACACAGGCAGCAGCCTGACCCACCACATCAGATTTCTTAATACTTATTATCTTTACAGTTATAGTCACCTCTTAGTACCTGGCATTTTAATTCTACTACCAGAATCACCAGAAAACATTTCTGATTAATATCTACAAGGCACAACAGCAGAAAATAAGGTTGAAGCTGTCTTAAAGGACCAAGCAGCCCAGGTCTTGACCTAAAAGGGCAAATAACATGACGACTAGCTAGGGGCTCAGAGACCACAAAGGTACAAAGTAAGAATTTCCTGATGAACTTAGTTAGCTGACAAGCTGAAAGCAGGAATTCAATCTGCCTCTTCAAGTTCAAATGGGAGATCTATATTTGTTTAAAAAGGAATTTAAGGACAGGCAGGCTCTAATAAGAAAATCGCGTTAGCTCCATGTATAAAAATGTTTTAACACAAAGAGTTTAAGTTTTTGGCCAGTGTATACAAGAAACACAAGTGTTCTTTTATAACACTTTCCAGGCCTAGCGCGGTGGCGCAAGTGGTTAAGGCCCTTGCCTTGCATGCCCAGGATCCCATATGGGCACCGGTTCTAATCCCAGCAGCCCCACTTCCCATCCAGCTCCCTGCCTGTGGCCTGGGAAAGCAGTCGAGGATGGCCCAAAGCTTTGGGACCCTGCACCCGCGTGGGAGACCCGGAAGAGGCTCCTGACTTCGGCTCAGCATAGTATCGGCCCTTGCGCTCACTTGGGGAGTGAATCATCGGGCAGAGGATCTTCCTCTCTGTCTCTCCTCTCTGTGTATCTGCCTTTCCAATAAAAATAATAAAATAAATCTTTAACATAACACTTTGCAAGATACTGTGTCACACACACAGCAGGAATACAAGCCTAAAAGTATGTCAATTCTTACTCTCACTCCTTCCTTCTTCTGTATCCCTATAAAATTCCTTAATGCGCTAAAAGAATGGATGGGTGATAAATCTTGCTATTTCCTCATAAAGAGCGTATTTATCATTTCATTTAAACACATTGTTAACATTCTCCATAGTCCTTCCTTTACATCTTTTTAGCATGCAACGTAAATGAGCGGCATGAAAAAACAATCAATACAACCCTATTCTAAATAGATTGTAACATAAAAATTTTAATTATTCTACAGAAATCATTTTTTTAAAGATTTATGTATTTTTATTGGAAGGCAGATTTTTACAGAGGAGAGACAGAGATGAAGATCTTCCATCTGCTGGTTTATTGTCCAAGTGGCCAGAACAGCTAAAGCTGAACCAATCCGAAGCCAGGAGCTTTTTCTGGGTCTTCCATGTGGGTGCAGCATCCCAAGGCTTTGGGCTATCTTCTACTCCTTTTCCAGGCCATGAGTAGGGAGCTGGATGGGAAGTGGAGCAGCTGGGACATCAGCAGGCACCATAAGCGTGAGCATTTAGTTACTGAGCCATCATGCGGGGTCCAGAACTAATTTTCAAAACAAAGATCATCTTAACTATCTTGTCTGTTTTTTTTGTTTTTTTTTTTTTAATTTAGTTTTGCTTCTTGTCTGTTTTCGTACTTCTCTTACAAGGAAATGTACCAATTTTTTCATGCACCTATTCATAGCTTTGGACCAAAAATCAACAAAACTATGTTTCATTGCATAGCAAAGAATTAGTAAAGAGGGCCAGGCGCAATGGCTCAATGGCTAAATCCCTGCCTTACACACAGCAGGATTCCACATGAGTCTGGTTGGTATCCCAACTGCTCTACTTCCCATCCAGCTCCCTGCTTGCAGTCTGGGAAAGCAGTCGAGGACGGCCCAAAGCCTTAGGACCCTGCACCCACATGGGAGACCCAGAAGAAGCTCCTGGATCCTGAATTCGGATTGGCTCAGCTCTAACCGTTGCAGCCACTTGGGAAATAAACTAGAAGACAGAAAATCTAACTCTCTGTCTCTCCTTCCCAATCAAAAATTAATTAATGAGCCTATTGGGGCCTGCAGAGGACATCTGGTACCACAGCAGAGAATTGAGAACAGAACATACTGAACAACTACCCCAGCCAAACGACAACAGCAAGTATCTCAGTGAATGGAGACTCTAAGGTCGACTGTGTCACTCAATGGACATTGGATGGGTTTTCTCATCCATAGATTGGCGAGATCGACAGCATTGCGGAACTATCACATCCACCTGGACAGAACCCTGGGAATATCTGCCACATCAGGACCCTTGGTTGACATCGGGTGGCCATTCCCCATTCCCAGATACTGCGGTGGTTTGGAGGTTGGGTATGGCGTCTTCCCTTATCTACGCTCTTACTTGCCCCCCCAAAGAAATGGGAAGAAGAAATATAAAGTTTGGGGCCCGGTGTGGTGGCCTAGCAGCTAAAGTCCTCACCCTGAACACACTAGGAACCCATATGGGCGCCAGTTCTAATCCCGGAAACTCCACTTCCCATACAGCTCCCTGCTTGTGGCCTGGGAAAGCAGTTGAGCACGGCCAAAAGTCTTGGGACCCTGCACCCATGTGGGAGACCTGGAAGAGCTCCTGGCTTTGGATTGGCACAGCATGGGTTATCGCGGTCACTTGGGGAGTGAATCATTGGACGGAAGATCTTCCTCTCTGTCTCTCCTCCTCTTTGTATATCTGATTTTGCAATAAAAATTAATAAATCTTAAAAGAAAAAAAAAAGTTTGGAAACAATGATCACACCCACTTTTCCTTAATCCTGGATCCTTCTCACTCTGATCAACTATGTAAGCAGAAAAGTGAGTCAGAGAAAACTCTCAAATACTCCTTTTATTTTTATTCTAATAACAGACTATTAGAAGAAACAGAAAAAGTGACATAGCAGCAAAATGTTAAAGAACAGACACAACATGTTAAATCCCTCCCCGCCAAAAATTAAAATAAAATAAAATAAAATAAAAACTCACCGAAGTTTCCTTCCTTTGCTAGCTTTCCTATCTACTTTCTTGTGGATTTTGCTTCGTAACTTCTGGATGGCAAGCCACTGCCTGGGAAATTCACAAGCAATGTTATATACATCATCACTAACAGAAACAGTTACACATACTGACAAACTGGAATTTTTCTATCAACCCTGCAGAAAGAAATTATCAACCTACATCAAGTATCTTATGATAGTCTGAGACCAAAGTGACTAATCAACTGAAGAGGATTTCTGCAACAGTAAAAAATGGCAGCAGGGAAATTTTACAACAAATTTGGTTAACAATGCTTCTTAGTACTTGCAGTTGCTGTGCCAAGCACTTAATCTACAGCGGGCAGGAATCCCGCGGAGCTGAGTCCCGCTGCCCAGATCCCACGTCTCAGCTGTGCAGCATGTTTTCCCGCTATCTGCAACAGTTGGTGGTTTGAATGCATGAATTCTTTAAAAATAATTTTGCCTTTGCTCATATATAACTTTTTCCTTGTGCTTTCCAACTTTAGCTAATTTTTAATAAATACTGACTGCTGGCACTAGTTTTACTTAAGCATTAGAGATGCAGTGAAGAATGTTAAGTGTTGCTCAACAAAGCTCTTTCCTTCTTCCCCCAAAATCATCTCAGCGCCGTTACTCTACCCAAAAAGATAACAGCCCTTTGCATTCAAGTATTTGCATTTTAATTTTTCCAAAATGTCTCAATTTTAAAGTTTTACTGACTTATATACTATGCAATCAGCTAAGATATGAAGGAATTAATTTTTCAAAATAAGGGATATTTGGCTAAGGAAATCTTCATAAATTGCTCAGATGACAAATGGGGGAGGGGCCTGGGAGAAGGAAGAGAAACAGCAGCCGTGGCTATCATCTTACCTGATTTATTTAATGAAAACTCAACATGAGGAAAAAAAATCTAGGGAAATCCAATTACTGTAATCTTAATATAATCTTAATTACCATAATCTATTTTATTGTAAAGTCAGATAAATGCACAATATAATCACCAGTTAAATGCAATTTGCTCTATCACATCAAATTTATAGCCAACAGTTCTAACATTCCTGAGACATGCAAAACATCAACAATACCCTACCCTAAAATTCAAACAACACTTTACTCAAATAAAATGATTTCATCAACACAAAATGTATGATTGCCTCCTCAAAATGCTGCTCTGCCAAGAATCCCATTCTGGCACTTGCAGCTTTTGTTTCCTTTTCTGCTTTTGCAAATTACAGCTCATGGCTATTTAAATGTACACCATTCATTAGGTAGCACTCCAAATGCCCTTTCTATTTTCCAACCACAGGATGAAGCATACACACAAGAGCCTTCCTTCACTACTTTACATTCTACGCTGACATCTGGGTAATGCTTCCACACTCCACTTCTAATTGTGCTGCAGCTTTTACCGAAGGAGTGGAGGTCTAAATTAGGGCAGGCTCTAACAAGGCAGATTCAAGGAACCTGTTGTCTACAGTGCCATGTTCTGACAGCTGAGAACACACATTAGGGTGGCTGCTTTTTATCCACTGGTCTGTGGATTGATATGGATACAATCACAGCACTAAACAGAGAGCAGAGTCTAAGTCCTTGAAAAAGAAAACCCTAAAACACGTAAATGTTGTTTAATCTCTTTTCAAACTGCACTATGGCAATACACGACAAGCAATAATTCACTTGGTCTTTCTAGCTCTTATTATCTAGTTTAAGTTTGATAATTATAGGACCAATCACTGCTCTGGCAGTAGAACGAATGGGATCCAAAGCAAGAAACTATGATGTGAGACAGCCTGCATGAACAGAAAACCACATCAAATTACCTTCCCATGGCCACCTGATCGTTGGGATCCAAGGAGCTGGTCTTCCGCTCTATGAGTTCCCGGAGGAGCTATGCAAGAAAAGAAATACAACTGATTTATTTATCTTCTCCCAGCACCCACTGACTTTAAAAGGGCACAGAAACAACTGTGAATGGCGCAGTGACAGCTCAACGCCCTAATCAATAAGGGACAACCCAATGGCAACAGCATGACTGAATTCCCATTAACCCTTTCCTATTTATATATTTTTAAAAAGGTGGCAATAGCAATAGCTGAGAATGGAAGTCCATTTGGAAGACATATGGTACCGCAGTTCATTTCAAATGGATCAATGAATGTGCAACATTCCCTTCATTGTTTTTATGATTAGTTTTGTCCACCCCATCGATAGCAATGGAGAATCTTTAAAAGGTCATGTGGGAAGGGCTGTGTAGCAAAAAGGGAAATGCATCAGCTTCTTACCAAGAGGATGATGGTGCACAGTTAACTTCTGGACTATAACCTCTTACAGCCAGGTAGATTCTCCTCAGGCAAAAGCCTTTATTGTATAATTCAAAGTGTGGACTTCACCCTCTTAATTTCCAGAGCTACTACTCTATTGTGCTTGCTATTAAGTAATTTAACCATATGTGACACCAACAAATATTCATAGCCATAATAATTTTTAAGAGGAAACCTAAAGAAAGTCATTTATGTGTACAGCAAATACAACACCGACAGCCAGACTTTCATCCTGTGCAATTAACTCCACAGGACTCTACATTACTCTCTGGCTCTCCTCTTAATCCTGCGTACTCCACTGCACCCAATCAAAGCCCATATCGACATCTTTCAGACAGACTTAAGAATCTGCACTGGAGCTTGAAGTTCTAGGTGAAGAGAAGCAATGGATTTTAAAGTTTAAACACAAAAGGAGGAAAATTTTTAATTAGACTAGTCAAGTGCAGTATCTCTTATGTAAGTCCTATAAGCAAACAGCAACAAACAGGTTGAAATCCCAAAGCTCTGAGCAAAATCTAAGGCAAAATGCTAAAATATATGTGGTCTTGCTAAGTATCATTAATAATATAAGCCTGACTCTAAAACTCATTTTGTCATACAGGTAAGTCATTATTTTGTGTGTAGAACATGATGGCGATACAGAAATTTCAACAATTTAAACAGTGGGAGCCTTCGGAAGATGGAGAAGGGGGAATAAATTCCATGGAAGTAGTTTCCTTTTAATTTTCAGTTGTTTATGTGAGATGGTCTTAGATGAAGTAAAACACGTTTATAAAAATACTACTTTCCATAAGATGAATATTTATTGCAAAAGGGGAAAAAGATCTCAGCTGCAATTAAAAAAAAGAAAAGAAAAAAAGAAACAAACCCTGAGATGTTTTTTTTTTTTTTCCATTTGCTTCTTTCGGACATTATTAGCACAGCAATTACGTTTAAAAATGCGAGGACCAGAGGCCACTGGTTTATTATCACTAGAAAACAGCCAGCTATTTCTCTACCCTATTTATCTGATTGATTCCCAACATCTTTCTGGCAGCCAATCTATCAGTTTATCTCTCCTACTTCATCACAGTCACTTCTGGCAGCTAAATACAAGATCCAAATCCAGTGTTACACAGACACACGACACAGTAAACCTATGTAACGCGCTGCTGTGTAAACAGCTGCCCCGAAGGCTAAGCAAGAATGGGCTTCTGGTTTCCAGTCAATATGCTGTCAGAAGCAAGGCTGGGCTGGGTTCAAGGGAGAGGTTACTAACAGTAAAAAGAACAAGAAGAAAAAGCAAAAATAAGTAAAAAAAAGAAGAACAATAATGAGATGACTGCATTTCATTGCCCTTACCTTGTTCCAGCCTCATGGGCAGTTAAAACCATTCCTGCTTTTCCTAATCATCTCTGAGCCCTTAAGTTGGGACGCCACGGCCACTGGGGAACAAGTGCTCATGGAAGACTGCCCCAGTACAACGGGGTCAATCTTGCGGAAGAGAGAGCCACACGCCCTTGCCAAAGATGGAAAACAGCTCTGCCACCGCAGCACAGTTATCGAACTTGGAGTGGTCTCTGCAGTTCTAACGCCAAGCACTGAATCGCTTACTTTCGAGTACTCTGAGCACCACAAGTATCCTGAGCTGTATTTTCACTGCCCAGCTGCTTTGTACGGTTATTCTTGGCCATTCATGATAGGGATTTTCTTTATGATTCATTTATTCAGTCCTTCTTTCAGAAGGTTCTTTCTTGTCCAAAGCAGAAATGAGAAACCAGAAGGAAAAAAACAAATTAGATGAATTATTCCTTCAGCTATTACTATTTCCCACCACTTTCACTATCACTGGGCTTAAATTTAATTAGGAAAATAGTTTTCCAAATGCTGCTGCAAAATGCAGCTTTAGGGGTATTAGCTTAAGAATTTAATTTTGCATCTGAGTTCAATTTTTATTTTTTGACACATAAAAACTACACATTATGGGGGTACAATTTGATGTCTGCATAGACATATATATAGTCTATAATGTTCAAATCAACATACATCAATTCTTTATGAAAATATTCAAAATCCTTTCTTCTGCCTTATTTTAAAAAATGCACAGTACATTGGGCCCGGCGCGGTGGCGCAAGTGGTTAAAGGTCCTCGCCTTGCACACCCGGGATCCCATATGGGCGCCGGTTCTAATCCCGGCAGCCCCGCTTCCCTTCCAGCTCCCTGCCTGTGGCCTGGGAAAGCAGTCGAGGACGGCCCAAAGTTTTGGGACCCTGCACCCGCATGGGAGACCCACCAGAGGCTCCTTGCTTCGGATCGGCATAGCATTGGCCATTGTGCTCACTTGGGGAGTGAATCATCGGACGGAAGATCTTCCTCTCTGTCTCTCCTCTCTGTATATCCGCCTTTCCAATAAAAAAATAATAAAAATAAATCTTTAAAAAAAATGCACAGTACATTATCTACAGTCACTGTACTGTGCACAAGCACCAAAATACATTGCTCCTAATCATAACTGTGTACCCTTTGTTCAACCTGTCCCTGTCCCTCCCTCCCTCCTACTCGCCTATGCTTCTAGTAATTACTGTTCTAAATTCCACTTTTATGAAATCAGCTTTTTTAGGTCATATATTACCAGTGAGATCATTTGTCTTACCAGTAACATTTGTCTTTCTGGTATATTTCATTTAACAAAGACCCTCCATTTCCCTCCATACTGATGCAAATTACAGACCATGTGCTTTTTAATGGTTGAGTAGTATTTCTCTGTTCATATGCAGACTTTCTTTACCCATTCATCAGCAGATAGACACCTAGGCTGCTTCCATGGAATGTCTACTGTGAGCAGCACTCAAGCAACATGAAAATGTACAGCACACTTCAACATGCTGATTCCATTTCCTCTGGACATAAACTCAGACTTGGAATTGTCAGATTACACGGTTCTATTTTTAATTTTTTTTTAAGATTTATTTTTTATTATTTTTTTATTGGAAAGGTGGATATACAGAGAGGAGAGACAGAGAGGAAGATCTTCCATCCGATGATTCACTCCCCCCAAGTGAGCACAACGGCCGATGCTATGCCAATCCGAAGCCAGGAGCCTCTTCCAGGTCTCCCACACGGGTGCAGGGTCCCAAAGCTTTGGGCAGTCCTCGAGTGCTTTCCCGGGCCACAGGCAGGGAGCTGGATGGGAAGAGGGGCTGCTGGGATAGAACCGGCGCCCATATGGGATCCCGGGCATGCAAGGCGAGGACCTTAACCACTTGTGCCACCGCGCCGGGCCCTATTTTTAATTTTTTAAGGAACTTCCACACTGTTGTCTACAATAGCTCTACTAATTTACATTCCCACCAACACTTGTGCAAGGATTCCCTTTTCTTCACATCCTCACCAGCACTTGTTATCTTTTGTCTTTTTGATAATAGCCATTCTAACTGGAGTGAAGTGATATGTCATTGTGGTTCTCATTTGCATTTCCCTGATGAATATTGATGCTGAGAATTTTTCTCATATACCTGTTAGTCATTTGTCTATCTTCCTTTGAGTATTGTCTATTCAGACCTCTTGATATATATTTTGGGTATCAATCCCTTGTCAGATATTGAATTTGTAGACATTTTCTTCCATTCTACAGGCTTCCTCTTCATTCTGCTGTTTCTTTCACTGTACATCCAATCTTTATGCTTTAATTACATAAACTATGCCTCCAAAATCCAAGTTTCTGTTAGTTGTTGTATTCTTTATTTCAGCAATGATGAAATATTAATAGTAATTTGCCTTGTGACTCAGACAATACAGAGTTGTATGAAATATTTTTGACTTAACGTGTTACATTCCTCCCAATAGTCAATTCAGGAGGCCCTGACTGTAACTCTGGTTCTAAGAAAATATCACAGATAAGAATAGGCTGCAGGTCAGCACATAAAAACTTATTTAATCTAAAACATTCCACAGGAGGAAAAGTACAGATGGTACCATTCAGCATCTAACACTTACAGAGGCAGGCATTTGGAGCAAGCAGCCCACATGCCATCAGGGACACCTGCAGCACAGAGGGAAGGACCAACCTCACTGCCAGCTCCTCCACTTCTGACCCAACGTCCTGCTCATATATGCCCTAGGAGGGAGCAGATAATGGTTCAAGTACCTGGGTTCCTGCCAACAATGTGGGAAACCCAGCTGGAGCTCTTGGCTTTAGCCTGGCCCAGACATGGCTGTTTTGGGAATCTGAAGAGTTGACCAAAGGATGGAAGAGTTCTTTTCTCCATTTGTTTCTCAAATAAAATGAAAAATAAGTAAGAAAAAGTTTATAATACTGAATAGAAAAACGCACACCAGAATCAATTAAAAATGGATGACTACACACATTAGCTTCTTTCTTTTCATCTCAAACTCCTATGATTGGCCCATAAGAAAGGAGAAAAGAAGTGAGACACTCATATTTTGATTAAATTTCCCCAGAGACAGAGAATTAAAACAATGTGAGAGTGGAGCCAATCAGATCCACAGAATCCCTGTGGGATCAGCTCTCCAACTGGCAGTTACCTCAGAAGGTGGGAAGAGGAAGGACAGACCTACTTGGCCTTCT